GGAGACAGATCGATAAGCAAGGCAGTTTTCCTCTCATATCAGTAACTCAGCTATCATCTTCACGTGCCTCCTTTTTTCTTTAGCTGAATTTGTGAGAAACAGGGTAATCTGTTGATTTAGGAACACAAACTCTGCAGCAAGACCACCCGATTCATTTTCCAGTTCTGTCACTTACTAACTATACAACTTTGGGCAAGTTACTTAACTTCCCTATGGTTGTTTTCTCAGCTAATAATAGTACCTCCCACAAATAATACCCATGTGACTGTGGTGAGGACTGGTTAAAATATAGTGCTTAGATAGCGCCCAGCACCTTGTAAGTGGTGGCGACTATGATTTTTTATTATATTCTCATACCACCTACACCATGACTTAACATTTTTAAGTGGACACATTATTTGTACAAATTTATTTTAAAGGAAACTTTATTTTACTACTGTAAATGCAGAACCAGAAACACTTGCCATGTTACATGGCAATATAGGTGGAAATGGTAAAAACAAACATAAAATGTTATTCCATTTTAGCTAGGCTACAGTTGCCTGTTTCATGCCCTGAACTTGAGGGCTGCTTCTTTTCCATAGAAAGGGAGATGAGCACATGTTAAAAAATACTCTAGTACTTCACCAAGACTTCTTTCGTTGACTGTAGTCGAAGGAAGAGTCTGGAAAGTTCAAGGAAGTGAAAGTCCAGGGTGGCTGGAGCTCCTGCTCTGGGGAGAGAGAGCAGCAGAGTGCTGGGGTGGGAGGCAGGGCAGGATCAAAGAAACAGTTTAAAGAGGGAAAACCCATGCTGGTCTGAGACTTCAATGTTCTTTAGCGCCATGACTGCACATCACACCAGATCATCCCACAAGACCCCCAGCGGTGTGCACAGCACACTTTAGAAAATCAAGTCAGAAACGCTTGGTTGTCCATCTGTACTGTCAGTGCCCCCCGGAGGTTCCCTGTGGTGAGCTTCCAGACTCACTGGCTGCCTCTCACTTCCTTTTGCCTGAAGGTAATTTTCTGGCAGCTGGGAATGTACTGCATAGAATGCAGAAGTTGAGGGGAGTGGGTGAGAGACCCTCTGCCGATGAGCAATGGAAGGTAGGGGAGTACCCCAGCTTCTCTGCCTCTGCTGGGACACATGCTCTAAGGATCCCCAGAAACTTTGAGCCCCTTCCGCCAGTGGTAACTCACTCATTAACTCATTCACTTTCCTTCCTTCCCGGTCCATTTCACCCTCCCTGGACTTTCTGGGATCACTTCCCAAATAAGTTCCTGGCACCCAAACCCTTGTCTCATGATCTACTTTTGGGGAAACCCTAACTATGGCACAGTTCAAACTTCTGACAATGGAATGAGTTGCCCAGAGAGTAAGTTCCATTTTATTGGGGCACTCAGGAAATGGCTGAGAATGTTCAATGGAGATTCGTAGGTCAGGTAAGCATTTGACTAGTTGGTCACTGAGCATCCTTCAGACCCTTAGGTCTCATGGTTCTAGTTCAAGAGTCAGCAAATTACAGCCCATGGGCTACAGCCAACCCACTGCCTGTTTTTATATAGCTTGTGAACTAAGAATGATTTTTACATTTTTAAATGGTTGAAAAAAATCAAAAGAATAACATTTTGTGACCCATTAAAATTATATGAAATTCAAATTTCAGTATCTATAAATAAAGTTTTATTGGAACACAGCTACACTCTTCCATTTCCATACCATCTACAGGGCTGCTTTAATGTTACTCTCTGGCCCTTTACAGAAAAGAGTTTACTGACCCCTGTTCAAGATCATTATCCTGTAGAGACAGATTGAGACCTGACAGTCCTGTAGTAGGGGAGGCCCAGCACCAGACCTCGTATTTAGTGGGTAGTTTGTGTCAGACCTTCACATTTCCTTTTTCTACATCTCTGTGACCACCCTCACTATGACTCTGCCCTCTGGAGTTACCTAGGACTCTTTCACGGAGACATTAATGTTTTTATACCAGGAATATTTTTATCTTTAAAAGGACATGGGAACTTTTCTTCTCCATACTCTGCCCACTGTCCTATGTGGTTTCACCCATGCTTGATGGCTTCTGTACCCACTTAGTTACTGATTCCCCCCCAAACCAAATCTCCAGCCCAGATGGTATCCTGATCACTCTCATCAATATTCAAATATCTGTTCAACAGTAGATTAAGACGGGGTTAGGGAGGCGGGTTTTGTTGCTTACCCACAGGGTAACATTGAGCGGACATTCAACTGCATGGGGAATCAATGTCATCCTCTGTGGAAGGCAGAAATGATCCTGCCCAGCCTGCCAGGATTACAGGGCTAACTGGATGGAATGAGAGCTGCCCACAAAACACAGTGCCACCTTGGCTCCAGCCCCTCTCCGTTATTGTGTTATATTATTGTGTTATATTATTATTATTGCACTATCTGTATTATTGTAGTATTAGCTCCTTTGGACTATCACACTCCCTGCACACTGGCTCCCCCCCAAGTTCCCTGACCTTGCCAAGCTCTTGGCTACCTCTGAGCCTTTGTTTATGCTGCTTTTTCTGCCTTAAATACACTTTCCTCATCCCACCCCCTAAATGGCTGCCTCTCAGCCTTTCGGACCCCAAAGCCAAGCCAGGCTCCTTCTATAATGCCTCTCCATCTTTGCACTTAATTCTTTCATTGCATGTGCAATAATGTCTAATCACAGTTGATTCTTCTCATTTATGGCAGTTATGTTCTATAAGGTTGCCATGAACACAGAATCAGCAAATACTGAAGCTCTGCTCCTGGGGAAAATTCTAAGGTTAGGTTCCTGCCAGCTTCTGGTCACATTTTCATCAACAGATCAATACCTAACCTTGTCTGATATGTGTTTCTGTTTAAAGATATTTTATTTAATATATATTGTTGATTCATTCCCATTGAACTCATAGCCAAAATCCCCTACAACTCATGCCTGAACAAAGCTTATCTAACACATATTTTCTCTGGAAGGCACATTCACAGCCTTCCTGGGCTCAGAACACTTGTCAGCAGTTGAGCACTATGCTCAGGGGCATATTTAAACAGCAGAACCACCAACAGAAAAAAAGCACAAAAATGTGAAAAACGTGGCACCTAACTAGACCACAAAAAGGACACTAGTTTACGTGTAAAAGCTGGAACAAGATGTCAGAGTGCTGCCTTGTTTTGACCTCAGCTGGGACCATAGGTGTTGGGCGACTTAAAGTTTTTACCACTCTGGGCATGTCCATGAATTACCGCAAAAGTGCTCTGAATATTGATTTGGGGTTACAAATATGCTTTAGCGAAGAGGAGAATTTGCAACTACATAATCTGTGAACAATGAGGATCCACTGTACTTCCTTCTCGTTTCTTTCATTTACCAGAGCGGGATTCTCATTTCTTTCATTTACCAGAGCGGGAGTTCTCTGAAGGATGGTTTACCTCTGTCTTACAATTTTATCTCTAGCATCTGGAAAACTGCCTGGCACATAGTAGGCCCTCAATAATAAATATATTTTAAATGAACAAATGAGTCAATTGAGTTCAAATGCTTGGTGGGCAGCAATGATATCTGGTATTTATGGAAAAGACACCATGAGCTGCCCTGTGCTAAGTGCCTTCTCTCCATTCTCTTAGTGAGTAAGAGAAACAGCAGATTATTGTACGTTTGCACATGGGCCCTGGAGTCAGACTGACTGGTTTCCAGTATAGGGCCTGCCTCTCATTAATTACAAAGCTGTGAGGCAAGTTCCTTGGCTTCTCTGAACCCCAGCTTCCTCAGCTATCAAGTGAGGTAGTTACAGCTCTATCTTGTGGGATGAGGAGTCAAATGCAGCAATTCACAGAAAGCACTTAAAAGGGTGCCTAGCACAGGTATGCTCTTAATAAACATTATCTGTTATTGTTAATTCCTATAGCAACTCTAAGAGTTTCATACTATTATACCCATTTTGCAGAGGAGGAAACTCAGGCAAGGGGTGGTTCTGTGAGTTTTCCACTAAACTACATGAAACATAACTGCTGCCAATAATGAGAACCGACTATAATTAGACATTACTTCACACATAAGGAAGAGCTGGGCCTAGGGATTCGAAGCCCATGCTGGTAACCACTTTGCTGTTATATAAAGATACGGAATCGTTTTTATTGAGAATTGGGGCTCTTACTCAGCCTGCTCAGCTACATTGACCACAATGAGGAGGACGGCGCCAGCTGGGCCCCTGAACTTCTGTGGGATCAGGGAAAGGAGGAACACTCTGCACTTCCCCTGAGTCTTTGCTCGCATTCCACATCAGTGTTTTTCTGTTCCCTGCCCACTTTCGAGTTCAACCCTTTCAGAAACAGCCCTGTTGGGAAGGGAGGTGCTGGCTCCTTGCCTCGGGTATGACAGCTCGAAGGCGGAGAAAGTTCCTGCATAAAAAGTCTGTTAAAGAAGGAGGAGGAGGAGGAGAAGAAGAATCAGCACCCTGGGCTGTACCAAACAACCTGGGGTTTCCTCCAATCCTCTGGATCAAGGGTCCTCAAACTTAGCTGCTAGTTGGGATCTCCTGGGAAGCTTTTATATACCCAGATGCCCAGACCCCAACCCAGGCCACTTATATTTGAGTCCCTGGGGTGCGGGATTGGGCGTCAGCATTTCTTACTGCTCCCCAAGCAACCCAATGCGCGGCCAAGTTTGAGAAATGGTGCTTAGATCTTATCAGCAGCCCTCAGCTCCAACGCTTAAGTCGGTCTGGGCAGCAGTAACTCTCTTCTGCCCTTAGAACCTGCTGTTGGGGTTCCAGGCAGGCTCCTCAGACGCACAGGCTGGTGGAGGATGTCTGCGCGAGCGACCCAGTGTTGTGCTCCGCCCCTAGGCCCAGCTCGCGGACCGCGGGTGTCCGCGTCCCCTTAGGAAAGAGCAAACACGTGCGGCCGCTCCGACTTCCCTGGTGGTCTCCACAGACCGCACGCGGGGCTCGGCGGCCGCCGCGCTGCTCACCCCAACCTCGAGGGAAACGCCCGGAGCTCAAGAATCCTACCTTGGCGGACGGCAAAGCCCTCCGGTCCCCCGAATCCTGCGGCTCAGGTTCGAGCTGTCGCTGGGCTCCGCTGTGGCTCTCGCCGCGCCGGAGAGGCGCCCTCTAGAGCGCAGGCGCCACCTCGTGGGCGCGGGGAGGCCGCGCGGGGACCCGGGCGGGGAGGTGGGAGGTGGGAGCGCAGTCCCAGGCGCAAATGCAGCCTGGCTTCCCACGTGGACGGTTTTCCAACACGCGGCGAAACCCGGGCGCAAATCCCAGCTGGGAGGGACCACCTTCACTCCCTGGAGGGCACTGGGACCTGAACTCGCTGAATTTTCTCTTGGAGGCATGGAGGGGCAGTCAGGCCCTGGCTTCTGGCCTGGGATCCATCCTGAGATTTTCCTGGCTGGACTCAGAGATCTTTCCTTTCATCCAAAAGCTTTCAGCACACCCCAATTTGGCATAGCCTCTCTTTTAAATATGCTGGGAGCATCATAAGGTGTCAGGGACTGGGTTTTTCCTTTCCCCTATCAGCAATCCTTTCTTCCTGCCACTCCCTCTGAGCCCCCTCCTCCACTCCTTGCCCTCCAACCTTATTCTCTCTAGTCTCTGGCTGACCTTTTATTAAACACCTGGTCAGTGTCAGACCACCTGTAGTGTTGGGAGACACAGTGAGGTCCTCTAGGAATTGGCAACACCTGGTGCCAGTGGCATTTCTTTGGGAATGTCCTGGCACTGCAGGACATTTAGCATCCCTGACTTCCTAGTACTGAATGCTGGTAGCCACCCTTTAGTCACTGGGGGATTGGGGGTGGGGGTGGGGGTAGGACTGCCCTAAACTGAGACCCTCTTAGCTGATACTTAAGATCAGTTGACACAATGCAATTCAGTGTCCAGGGGAGTTCCACTGTCAGGCTTTTTCAAAGCAGTGGGGACTCTTAGCCACCTCCCTTTCCTGAGGCTTCCAATACTTTCTTTTATGAAGACATGCCAAAACAAGATTGCAAAAATGATGGACTATTTAAAGTAGTGTTCACATTTCATATATTTCTTCCTTCAACAGATGTTAAACTGAGCACCTTTTAAGTACCAGACACTCTTCTACAAATAAGAGCAACAAAGAGAAACACCCAAAAATCTCTGCCCTGGTTGAATTCACATTTAGTGTAACAAATTAACACTTTTAATGTACACAAAAATACAGTGCAAGTAATTGAACTCTTCACTGGTTAAGAGCAGGATTTATTTTTTTTTAATCAATCTATAGGGCACCAAAGGCAGAGTGGAGAGCTGATGGATACAAGTTTTGTGAAGTTATATGAGGGAATTCCTTCTATTAATCCTTGCAGTTTATCTGCGTGATGATTTGGAGGTAACATCACCAGTAGAAATATTAAAGTTGCTTTGTAAAAGTGAGGTCTGGGTCAACCTCCCTCCCCCTGTCATCAGGCAGCTGCATCTGGGGAGGTCTCTCCCAGTGCACCAGGTGAAACCTCAACCTGGACAGGGAAGGATTCTTGACTCTTAGAAAGAATTCTCCACCAGGTCAGACAAGTGTAGGTAAGGAAGGAATTCATTAAAGTGAGAGTAGTAGTGATTGGCAGCAGCTGTGCCGGCTGTAGAGCACAAGGGAGAGCAGAGGAAGAAAGGGAAGTGCACTGAACTCCTGCTCTTCAGAGGGCAAATCCTTTGCCAACTTCTAAAGCCAGGGTCACCTGGAGTCCAGTGTCCTGGATCTGCATGGCATGGGAACTAAGCCCCTACCACTTCAGAATTTGGGGGAGCCACGAAGCACTGCATGGAGTGAGTTTATGTTCTGAGAACTTCCACTTCCCTATTGGTCAGACATAAACAGAGGAAGAGAAAAGGATTGTGTGAAGACTAGGAAGCAGAATGAAATAGCCAAGTGACAAAGGCATTTACCACCAGAGGGGGAGGCTGGGAGTTATTGTCTTTATCATGGAAAAGAGTTCAGAGACAAGTGCAATCGGCTTATGCAAGAAGAAAGTGTATTTGATGTAAGACAGTACACACTCAGACAGGAGTGCGAGCAACCCCAGAGAGAAGACATGCTTAAGGGTTTAAGGTTTGGGGTTTTATAGGGCCTAGGGGTCAGCATAAGGCATGATGTATACAAGTGATTCATAATTCCTTTGAAGTTTTTTCTTAAGAACAGGGTTATTTAGTTGACTGTGTTGGTCTGGATCTGGACAATCTTTATCCACATAGGTTCATTTAACACTTCTGAGGTCTATGTCCTGTCCTGGTTACAAAGTAACTTAATTGGTTAAGGGGCTGGAAAAAGAGGAAGAAAAACATAGAGATTAAGTTAAAGAATAAACTTTTTCATAGGCTAAATAGATTTTACAATGGCATGACCCTTGTCCCAGTTCCCTGCCCTATCTCACCCGGACCTGTTTGTGTGCCTACTTAATCTTTGGCATCTCTGTACCATGTGATCTGTTCAAAGTGACCATCAGGAGTGGAGGACAAGGAGGTGTCACCTGTGGGCAATGCCTGGAAGGGCAAGGGACAATGTGTGTCTGATGACAGGGGCCAGCCCCAGCCTACTCATGACAGGCTGGTGCACTGGTGAAGGTGAATGGGTCACAGAACTGCTGACAGATACACTTTCCATTCTTTCACGTTGAAGTGTCTCTGAGTCACTTCTAGGTTGCTCTTGCCCCAGTCATGGCAAAAGGTCTCTCCTCCCACCCAACCCCAGTGTGCCCCAGGGCATGCCTGGGCAAAGTCCTAGATTACAGTCTCTGGGATTCTGACATCAGGCATCACCTGATGAGGTTAAAGGCTTCCTAATGACTTTCTCCTCTGAGTTCTCCTAGCATTTTTCTCATTGCACTAATCAGTGTTCTGGAAACTGCAGTTTTCAACAGGCATGTTTTCTCCATAGATTCCCCATAGGTGGTCTTCTTGAAGTAATGCCAGTAATAATAATAATAATAATAAATATTGTTATTATTTGGAATGTTTTAGACACTGAGAATTTTAGACTTGGTTTAATCCTCACAATAACCTTAAGAAGTAGACACTATTATTTTTCCCATTTTATAGATGAAGAAACAGAGACTCATAAGTATTTTGTATTTTGCCCTAGGTGGAAGTGTTAGCAAGTAGCATGGCCGGGACTTGAATCTGGATTGCCCAACTGCAGAACGATTGTTTCTGAACATTTTGCTACTATTTATTGACCACCTCCTATATGCTGGACACTGTTTCAGATATGAGACTGAATGGACAATGTACATTTATTTATTTATATTAAGGTATCATTGATATACAATCTTATGAAGGTTTCACATAGCAAAATTGTGTTTATTACCTTCACCCATATTATCAAGTTCCCCCCCACACCCCATTGCAGTCACTGTCCATCAGCATAGTAAGATGCTATAGAGTCACTACTTGTCTTCTCTGTGCTATACTGCCTTCCCCAAGACCCCCCTACATTATACGTGTTAATCCTAATGCCCCTTAATCCTCTTCTTTTTCCCTTCCCACCCACCCTCCCCAATCTCTTCTCTTTGGTAGTCCCTAGTCCCTTCTTGGAGTCTTGGAGTCTGTGAGTCTGATGCTATTGTGTTCCTTCAGTTTTGCTTCATTGTTATACTCCACAGATGAGTGAAATCATTTGGTAATTGTCTTTCTCTTCCTGGCTTATTTCACTGAGCATAATACCCTCCAGCTCTATCCATGTTGTTGCAAATGGTAGGATTTGTTTTCTTCTTATGGATGAATAATATTCCATTGTGTATATGTACCACCTCTTCTTTATCCATTCATCTACTGATGGACACTTAGGTTGCTTTCATATCTTGGCTATTGTAAATAGTGCTGAGATAAACATAGGGGTGCATATGTCCTTTTGAATCTGGGATCTTGTTTTCATTGGGTAAATTCCTAGAAGTGGAATTCCTGGGTCCAATGGTATTTCTACTTTTAGTTTTTTGAGGAACCTCCATATTGCTTTCCACGATGGTTGAAATAATTTACATTCCCACCAACATTGTAGGTGGGTTCCCCTGAAAAGTCATTTTACCTTTGTGGTCTGAGAAGCTGGTTGGTACAATTTCAATCCTTCTGAATTTACTGAGGCTCTTTGTGTGGCCTAGTACATGATCTGTTCTGGAAAATGTTCCATATGCACTTGAGAAGAATGTGTATCCTGCTGCTTTTGGGTGGAGTGTTCTGCAGATGTCTGTTAGGTCCATCTGTTACAATGTCTTATTTAGTGCCTCTATCTCCTTACTTATTTTCTGTCTAGTAGATCTGTTCTTTGGAGTGAGTGGTGTGTTGAAGTCTCCTAAAATGAATGCATAGCATTGTACATTTATTTTTAATCCCTCTTGTTCTCTTGTTTTCTCCATCCTATCCTTCAAAGGGAGAATTTCATTTGTTTCATTTTGATTTTTAAATAAATTCATAGTTATGAGATGCAACCTATTTTTAGGAGGAAATAGCTTATTTATCTTCTAGAGTGATTCTCCATTAAAGAGAGTAAGAATCCTGTATTGCTCAAAATAGTTGGAGCTAGAAATGGGGGTATCAGAGCATGGGCAGGGTGGTATCAGGACCCTGGCAGGATGAAGGGTAGGCAAGGAAAAGGCAGAGATACCAAATGTAGCCATGGGGACAAGAGATGGGTGTCCATCCCAGGAAGGGCATTTGGTGAGGCTGGCCCTGTGGACTGAATGGCAACTTGACTTTTGGTGTCACAGTGCATCTGTGATTGGCAGGAGTAGTTTGGTCATTTTCTGGTCATGGACTGTACCTGCAAAACCTGCTAGATGTTATGAGGTGTAATACAGGATGAGATATATACTGTCTCATTGGCTCTTCCCCAAAGTTCAGGAAACAATCAGAGGCATCAAGCCAATTGCTGAAGGCCACATGGTATGAACACTGTAGAGTTAATATTCAGTCCTAGGTTCCTGTCGCTAAAACTGGTGCTTCTAACTACAACCATTATTTGAATTTCTATAAATGAATGGTGAATTAAACTGAATTCCTAGGGAGGGACTTACATTTTTTCATTTTGGCCATGGTGCCCTTTCCTTCCTCTACCAGCTAATATTCTGCTCATCTTTCTAAGTC